GATTATTTTAATTTCAAACAAACAGTGACACGCGTTCTCCGGGCGCGTTCTACACTGACACGCGCTGCTAGGGCGTAACACTTATATTGGAACATATTAATGGGCAATGGGGTTCCCCGACCTAAATTCCATCCCGGTTTGCACGTTCTTTCTTTAATACGAAATAATCAAGTATGGAACATATGTAATAATAACAGAACCCCACACCCTCCCCGTGGCTTTCGTTGCGTATGGAAGTTATTTTCACTCGAGATGCAGTGTATTCTGCTGTACTTTCACTCGCTTCGCTCGTGAAAGTACGGCCGCAGGATACACCGCATCACTCGTGAAAATACGCAACAAAAGCCACAGGGAGGGTGTGGGGTTCTGTCATACTACCTTATATCAATAGTTGATTTCTCAAACTTGATACAAACTTGCCATAAAGCGATAAACTTATATTGGCCATAAATTCAAAATAATTAAACCTGTTTCTCACCTCATCAGGCTCAATAAATGAAATTTCTTGTACTATGGCACAATCAACCGTTTCATCAGTCTGTAAAAAATGAATCACAAGTCACATATATTGAAATTAAATACCTACACAAACACACTGCTTCTTGTACCTAATTTATTTTGCATACTGATTTTATTCTAATAGAAGCACACTAATAAATGCTCACAATGAATTTATTGTATAATGACCTTGATCAATAAAAATAAGACTTATTTTGTCAATAGACACATCACAGCCATTGACGTAAGCACATATGTGCTACTAATAGAGCATATACTGTAGTTGTACTTCTAGACTACTGGCATTCAAGGATAAATTCTTTTAGGATGTGATCCTTTTTAGAGAAACTAATCCATTCACCTATGATCTGAAAATACAGAAACACCGATTGTAAATTGCAACCCAAAATGCATAATTTTGCAATATATTTTTTCAAAAAACTTACTGAGAACACCATCTTGGATTCCAGATAAAGAGCGATGCTGAGATGGTTATTTTTCTCTGCAACGTCACATGGGGTGTGTTTGTCTTTGTTCTCACCAAAAAGTTTCACATCATGAGTTACAAGAAGCTGTAGAAAAAAAGCAGTGAATCAGAAAGATATATTATAGAGAGTTTAATTTTATAGAGACAACACTCTTGAAATTGTCTAATGATCCAAGATACTAGGAGGTCATCACAAAAATAGCGCAAAGTATGCACGAGGGCAGTATGGAGATTATATTGAATGTCACATACATGTAGTGGAGGTACATGTAGATGAAATACTCTACTGCTCGAATGCATACTTTGCGGTATTCTTATGGTTACCTCATTATTATACATCTTGTCCTGCTTGTAATCATAACCGATATACATGTTGAAATGTCAGTGAAATATTATTTAATTAGTCCTAGCACAATTGTGTGCAGTCAGTGGAAACGCATATTACATTACAAGACAATTTTTGAATGTGACAAGAATGAGATAAATATAATGCACATTTTCCATATAAGGAAGACATCCTAACAATTTCATACAAATCAGTACAGGGTTTTATGAATGATGCAACTCAATTGTTTTCGCAGCCAGATGTGACACTATAGAATATTTTTGTTTTCACACGGCACATTTCATTTTCCCTGAAGAGACAAATCAACGAAAATAATTTTGTTTCATTTGAATAAAAAACAAGCCATCTACTTTTTTTTTACCAAGTACAAAATTTGGGTCTTTTTCGATAGGAATTCAGTGTTGCTTGGCTACAGTATAAACGCTCTTGATCCTAAGAAACTTGACTCCTGGAGCTAAGTTACCTGGACAACAGATGTTTCTTACCTCCACTGATTTCTTCAGACCTGACTGAGCGGCATAGTGTAACGCAGTATTAGCTTTCTGTGAAAAGAACAAAATAACAAATTAATACGATACTCTTTTAGTTCAATATGGACATGGGAGTAGAAATCAGGGCATGCCTTGAGGAGAGTGGTTACTACACTTCCCAACACTTGTAACAAATTAATAACCACAAGAGTTTGCTTATCTATATCCAAATTCATACCATATTGAAGAGATTTTAGTACAACTTCTCTTAGTCACTTGTATTACTGTAGTCAAGCAACTTTGGAGATAGGAGTTCTTTAGGGAATGTACATGTACCTCTAATCCAAACACTGCTACTCCCCTATTTTATACACCCCCACGTGTAGTCATGTGGATGGGAATATACAATTGCATTGGAGGGCTAAAGTGTTAGGGTTTAGGTTAGGAGTTGAAGTGGGTGTTAAAAAACTCTTTCCATAACTTCTAGCTGCCTAGCCATTTTCAGAAAAAAAAGCACAAGATATGCAATTGCATGTAGGAATGTAGGAACAATGTTGACTACAATCAATTCACATTCTAAGATCAACAGACAAAACGGAGAAAAAAAAAATGCTATAAATCTCAAAATATCAATCTCTGAGAGTATATACATTGTGTTTCAATTGCTAACGCGAAAATGACCACAGTGTAATACATTTCAATGAGAAGATTCAAATTTTAAATAAAATCAAGCTGTTCCATACAATGATGCAATCAAGAAATAGTTGGTTAGTATTATTTTTACACCCAGAATGAGCTTACATTGTATTTACCTCACATGGAATCAAAACACCTTAATTTAAACCCATTATAAGGCTACTCATACTACTGAATTTTGCTAAAAGTTTGGAGAAAGACAAATTACATTGAATATTATCTGTTATCTATCTTTTGAGAATGTAATCACCAACGAACATGTACAAGGTATTAAAAATAATTCATCACCTGACAGCCAACATGTAAATGTTTTTGTTTTTCCGTTCATAAATAAACCAAGGTGCAGGGTGTTTCCTTCCTTGAGTTATACAAAATTGTTTTAACAATAATCGCTTTACCTTAGACTAATCAGCAATTTGGATGAAAGATGATAAGAAAAACCTTTGTACACAATTTATGCTTTCAGGGATTTATGAAACAGCCTTACAGACAGCTGTGTACTCGTGACATTTACAAATCAATATCTCTTACTACAATGTACAAGTCAGACAGCCTTATGGCTAAGTACAGGCATTGTGACATTATAATACTGTAAACATCTTAAGAAAGTAATAACATTTTAATCAATACAGACATATACTTCTGGGGGGAGCACTCAGCGAATTAAAACTTTCAATTCCGAAAAGTATACAACCTTCCGGCAATAAACTGGTTTTGATTTTTTGTTTGTTTTGTTTTCAGTTAATGTGAATCATCATACAACCCCAGCCTCTTTGCAGGGTCTGATGGGTACTGCTAGAAAGCTGTCACAGTGGTTAAATAGACATTACATGTACATTGTAGTATTCTGTAGCATGCAAATGAACCAATCAGCACGTCTTCCTTCCATTACAGGGAACTACCCAATCTACTTAAAACGATAAATGCTCTTAATTGTTCTAAAACAAGTGCTGATACATTGTAGTTGCATAATTTTTGTGAGGATAAATAACCAGAGTATATACTGTATCATTCTTAAATGTTCGAAAAACAGGCAAATACAAAATGATATTTCTATTGCATAGAGGACAATTACAATGATCAGTTTTATTTTTTCTGTCAGTTCGTAATCTCAGGCCAGTGCAATCAAATATGCTAAACACAGATGAGCATGAGAATACACAAACACACACAAATATCATACAGTACAATGTAACAGTCACACATTCAGTAATTTTAAAAACCCAGCAAACAATAAATGTATACACCAAGCATACATATTATTACATACATATGACATTTAAAAAGATGATACTGATATTACCAGTATTACAAATTTCATTTTCAATTACCTTGCCAATTACAATGTACACGTAGTAGTGTATTCAGATCAGTGTAAGTGATAACATATATGCATAGGTTGGGCCAATGCAGATGGACTGAGTTTCAATTATAGATACTGTTTGTGTTACCCAATAACATCTACTGTAATGTATTTGCTCTATTACAAGCACACCTGCTATAGAAATGCAAGAGCATACATAATGATAGATCATTTAAAAATAGATCATTGTGAATGTCAGACTGCAAAATACAAATGACATTGAAAATGAATAACATTTGGTATTTGTTTGCCTGTTTTTTGAACATCTGAGATGATATACGCATTTCATATACATGTATGTGCAGTATTAAAGCAGCAGTGTAGCGCAACATTTGAATTTAACTGAAACTCCTTAATACAAGATTG